TCGTCCTGGGTATGACGATAAACTATATCCAACAACAAGAAGGTTTTGAGGAGCGTGGAATCACTTCTTAATTGCTGGTGTTCTCATGTCCACCCTGACCCGGGGTGCTAGCACCTGTTAGGGACCCAGCTATGGGCAAATAGTTAACCCCCAAACTGGGGTAAAAACTTACGAAAATGTAAAAATAGGTTTTAATACTAGAAATACTTTGTAAAAAATTATTACCAGTAATAAATTTTTGAAGAAAAAAAAATACCAGCAATACGTAAATATTAAAATTTAATTGTAAGAACAAATTTTGCTCTAATAAACAAAAGCAAGAACATTCAATATATTTTTGAAAAAATTATTACCAGCAATACGTTTTTGAAAAAAACAATATTACCAACAATACATTTTTTAAAATAATATTACCAAATATAGATTTTTGAGGAAAAAAATATTACCAGAAATAGATTTTTGACAAAACAAAATATTACCAGCAATACAAAATTTTGTCGGTATTAAATAACCCATTGAGGTTGATATGCCGTAAAACAAACCAAACCAAACCAAACCTCCTAACGTAACCTCTACCTCGAGTGGCACCCGGACCTTGTAAAGTGTGGACCTCACTATAAAAAAAGAAAAAAAAGTTCGGCTTTGAATAGTTTTGGCGTTTGTTTTCTTCTGAGATCAACAATTAAATAAGGAACATTAAGTACCAAACATTAAATTTAGCTGCTGGTGTAAGTGTCACTGTATCGGGTGGGAGTTGATTTTTTTTTTCTTTTTTACACAAAAGCAAATGCTAGCAGGGTCAACGAAGAACAAACTTTCTATTCGTTTTTTCAGCAAATGAAATATTCAGAGAAGATTGTACCTACGTTGTTTTACACTTAAGAGTTGTGCTTAAAGTGGTAACGTACCCCCCCACCCCCCGACGCCATCCTTGTGGGTAATGAATTATCTTTATTTTTCACCTTACCACCACCTTCCCAGAGACGAAACGTTGCAATCCTCTATCTGCTCAATCGCTATTTCCACGTAAAGTTTTCAGGCGAACTAAATTCCTTACTACCGCCAGTGCATCTCCCTTCCTCTTACTTGCTTCCTTGATGACTACAATCTTCAGTATCTGTCTATATTTCTGAGATGAGGTATTATGTACACTATTTAAATTATTCGGACTATTGTCCTCATCTTTGTTGCGATAAATATCACAACGTTTCGGCCCTTCAGTATCTGTCTATATTTCTGAGATGAGATATTATGTACACTATTTACATTATTCGGACTATTGTCCTCATCTTTGTCGGCATATATATCACAACGTTTCGGCCCTTCAGTATCTGTCTATATTTCTGGGATGAGGTATTATGTACACTATTTACATTATTCGGACTATTGTCCTCATCTTTGTTGCTATATATATCACAACGTTTCGGCCCTTCAGTATCTGTCTATATTTCTGAGATGAGGTATTATGTACACTATTTACATTATTCGGACTATTGTCCTCATCTTTGTTGCTATATATATCACAACGTTTCGGCCCTTCAGTATCTGTCTATATTTCTGAGATGAGGTATTATGTACATTATTTACATTATTCGGACTATTGTCCTCATCTTTGTCGCCATATTTATCACAAGAACAGTCTACCCCAGTGACTGAAGTAAAGGGTTCAGTTTGACATTTCAACCACCTGAAGAAGGCCGGAGCGTACAATAGCCGAAACGTTATGATAAATATGGCGACAAAGATGAGGACAATAGTCCGAATAATTTAAATAGTGTACAATCTTCAGGGATTTAAATGCAACGTCAATCGGCATCTTCTGTTGTCTTGAAACCCCGTTCATCTTTTATCCTTTCCTCAATCACCCCTAATGCCCAGTTTTTTCTCTCACTTTCACCACCTGTAACCGACTGCGTACTATTAGCACGACCGCCTTACTTGGGATGATTTGCTTTTTTTTTTTTTTTTTTTTTTAAATTATAACATTCACGGCTAAGACCCGCCATGCCACACACACTGTGACGGATCACACTTCTTATTCCACTGTTGAGATTGGTGAAATGTAAATTCTACTCGGGAAGCTTCTTCCCCCGAATTGCTGCTTTCTAGAACCGACTCCCAAAAGGATACTTACCCGATCATTGCAATCTTAACCTATTCATATCTCGGGTTTAGCCGTTATCTTTCCCACATATCCCCATAAACTGTGTCTCTTACTAACTCTCTACCTTGAGTGGTTCTTGGGTCTTGTATAGAGTGAACATTATTGTAAAAAACAAATTTAAACCATAATTATAAACTATAATTTCGGAAAGAAATCTTTCCACTAAAATATATTTCCAAATTTTCATATAATGTAATCAAGAAAATATGATACGCTTGAAAAATTTTAAAACGCTTTGAAAAATTTTAACAGCTAAAAGAGAAAACACCTTTAAGAAGTAAAAAAAAAATTAAAATTGTAAAATAATTATGAAGTATTAAAAAGACGACAAAAACAATAAAAATGCATTAAATGTCCAAACTTTTCAAATTAACAACATCGTTTTTAAGTAGAATGATTGCCATGGTTACGATTTTTCTTAAGATTCTTTTAATGAAAGTATAAAAATAAATATCTGCCTATATCTCAGAGATGGGGTATTATGCTTATTTACATTATTTAATATGGGCACATGGCTGAGTGGTAAGAACGTTCGCATTCTGACCATGAGACCCGGGTTCGAATCTCACCATGGTCGATTTGTCAGGAAGGAGACTTCCTGATGCTATCGGACTGGAGGGATCGATCCCTGCGTGCAGCACATTTGGAAAGTACCTGTGAGTGAAATTGGGTAGACGGAACCCCTGCTGTGCTAGCACAAATTCACATGTCATCGTGGCCGAGGGATTGAGCGTGCATGTTCAAATTGTTCATCACGCTAGATAACACGCTCTTTCCCAGAAACTGTAACTAAGGGTTGTGCAGTATAAACTACAGGTGGGCTCTGGGTCGTCTTGAACAAGCGTCTGCAATATGGATTGGCTAGCCGTCCTAGTAGGCAGGTATCCTCGAATACAAATGGCCAGCTATGCATACATATACATTATTCGGACTATTTTCCTCGTCGCTATATTCACAACGTTTCGGCCGTTGTCCGCTCCGACTTTCTTTATTTCGTCCACCGGCGTAGATTGTTCTAGTTCCATGCGCCATGCCTCTTCCGGATGTCTCAGTTATTTACTTTAAATCAACTCAAGTATTTTTGGTTCACTGTAGCCTGGTATTGAACTCACCACTTTTTGGTTCTAGTCACTGTATCTAAGCATCTAGTCCTTTATCCACTAGGTCAGGTGACTGGAAATCGAAATTCCAATCACCCGTAGAAGGCCGGAGCGTACAGGCTGAATATGGCAATAAAGATGAGGATAACAGTTCGAATAACTTAAATAATGTAAATATAAGAAATAGATTTTTATACTAAAAATACCAGCAAAAATTTTGTCTCTTGACAAAAACGCTCTTTACAAAAATATGTCAATGAAACCTGATCTACAAACTGATTACTTACAAAGAATACATATTCTATTCATACAAACCTATCCTGAATGTCTTGACGGCATTGGGGTGTTGATATGCCGTAAAACAAAATAAACCTGAACCTAACTTTGATTTCTGTGATATGCACATTTCCTTCCGGGTCCCAACCAGAGACATTAAGACCACAAATGGCTTCATGCATTACGGGTTTGTGCTATGTTCATACCAGTTTCTTGGTGTTTACTTCCCGTAAAGTTGCATATTTTCCAGTACCGAATTTTATATTCAGTGGGTGCTAACAATGATACAATTGATCAATTGTTTCTAGATATTTATCATAGAATCTGCATTTTGAACCAAAGCAATTTTTCTAGTATGTGTGCTTGGTAATTTATAGTTAGCAAGCATTGGTCCTGTGCAGCAAGAATAAAACCTTCGGTTTTAGCTTTTAAGCCTGCACTACGTAACAACTGATGCGTACGGTGTCTAGCTTGTTTTGTACAGGCGGTGTATTGACCATAAAGAGGCTTATCGTGCATTGTTTCTGTATTATTATTATTATTATTATTATTATTATTATTATTATTATTATTATTATTTCTTTTGATTTCTGATGGATACTCATTCCAGAAATGGCTTCATGAATTTTTCCACTGATCAGTTTTGTAAAAAGCAGAACCAAAAAAATAAACAAAAAAAAATACAAAAAAATCCCCCCAAAAACCCAAGATCACGCACATTTTAAATAGATAAAACTCTAAGTAATGTGTGAACTGTAGTTATGAATACAATTTTTTTTTGTATTTCTTTAAGTCTGAGATATCAGGAATCCATATCAATGAGTTGATCCGAACCTTTTCAAATCAATTCAAGGGCTGGAAATACAACTGGAATTGTTGATGTACTCATGTGCCACATTTTTGAGATTTTGATTTCAAGATCCTTGTATTTTGATAGTTTTTTTTAAAAAGATTTTCAAAGATAAATTACAGTCTGCAGGGCCTGTCATATCAATAAGAAATCACATTTTGTTCTTGTGGCTTTTTGATCACGATGCCTGGGCGATTAGATTTGATTGATCTGTCCGTGTGTACTGTAAAGATCCATACAATTGTTACAGGTCCTGTCTCTGTAATCAGGTCTGTGTGGGGTTCATACCAACTTTTTTGCAGCTTCCTTTCAATGAAAGTTGCATATTTTTCCAGTGCAGATATTGGCCCACTTTCTCATGTCGAGTTTTATATTCAGCGGGTGGAACCTGATACAAAATGACCAATTGTTTCTGGATATTTAGCATAGACTCTGCATTTGGGGACAACCCAATTTTTCAGTATGTGTGCTTAGTAATTTCAATTTAGCAAGCATCGGTCCTGTACAGCAAGAATAAAACCTTTTCAGCTTTTAACCCTGTACAACGTAACCGCTGATGGTTACGAGGTTTGTCTCCGTTAGCTTGTCTGGTACGGGCAGAGTATAGCCCATGAGCCGCTGCCGCCACCGCTTTCTTCTTCTTCTTTCGTTTTTCTTTTTTTCTACTTTTTCGTTTTTCTTCTTCTTTTTTCGTTTTTCGTCTCCATTTTTCGTTTTTTTCGTTTTTCGTTTTTCTTCTTTTTCATCTTACTTCATTTTTTCGTTTTTCTTCTTTTTTTCGTTTTTCTTCGTTTTCGTTTTTTCTTCTTTTTTGTTTATCTTCTTCTTTTTCGATTTTCTTCATCTTTTTTGGTTTTTCTTCTTTTTTCGTTTTTCTTCATCTTTTTTCGTTTTTCTTCTTTTTCGTTTATCTTCTTTTTCGATTTTCATCTTTTTTCCGTTTTTCTTCTTTTTCGTTTATCCTCTTCTTTTTCGATTTTCTTCATCTTTTTTCGTTTTTCTTCTTTTTTGTTTATCTTCTTCTTTTTCGATTTTCTTCATCTTTTTCGTTTATCTTCTTCTTTTTCGATTTTCTTCATCTTTTTTGGTTTTTCTTCTTTTTTCGTTTTTCTTCATCTTTTTTTTTCGTTTTTTCTTTTTTTCGTTTATCTTCTTTTTTCGATTTTCTTCATCTTTTTCCGTTTTTTCTTCTTTTTCGTTTATCCTCTTCTTTTTCGATTTTCTTAATCTTTTTTCGTTTTTCTTCTATTTTGTTTATCTTCTTCTTTTTCGATTTTCTTCATCTTTTTTGGTTTTTCTTCTTTTTTCGTTTTTTCTTCTCTTTTCGGTTTGCTTCTTCTTCTTTATGGCTTTTCTTTTTCATATTCAGTGTTTACCTCCTGTTTGCAACAATATTACTCTTTCCGATATTATAATAATTATAATACATCTTTTTCCGAGGTCAACATCGACAGGACTTACATTTTATTTTCATTTCCTATCTAAACATCACCATCACCATTACAACCATCACCACCACTTGTTTTATTCTCACCTACTCTACTACGACTACTAATAATAGAACCTCTTAATTTTTAATGTTACGGATTAATGTTAATTTAATGACGCCGCTGTATTTAAAACTTGGATTTATTTGAAACTCACCTTCAAGCCTCTGCGATTAAACGGGAATCCTAATGTTTTATTCATTCCATACAGAGAGGAGATCAGAATTAGAAATAGACAAAAAGAAAAAAAAGTAAAAGCCAGAAAGATTGACATTATTTTTATTTAATACCCACGTGACCTACGTCTTCCTAGACCACCGCCATATAAGAAAGGTTTCTCTAAGCAACAATGAAGCGCCTGAAGATGATTTTACTGTGAAGATGCAACGGAAATAATTCTATATTGGTCGGATTTATTTTACAGCACGTCAAAAGTTGTTGGGGTATATTTAATGTCAAATATTTTATATGGGGGCACATACTGAGGATCCATCTCAATATTCAGTAGTAGGTATTTACTCTGTCTCCCAAATAAGACGAGTTGTGACACAAGGTCAGTTTTAAAGGTAGGGGCCAGAGCGCGTACACCCGGGCTAGGGACAACAATTTGCCCGTAGCCCTCGCAAGCGTCGGTTGCGCTGGCCTCGGTGCGAGCACCGATCCCCCTCTTTGGTGCAATAAGAGGGTGCAGCCTCGGCCAGCTGTTTCCCAGGACTGGGCCCCTCTCAATATAATTTTCCTCAGTTGCGACTCTGTCCTTTGACGGAGCCGCCCCTGAGCGCACTCTGCCCAAAGATAGAGACGCAACTGAGATATGATAAAAAGATGAGTTACAAAATGCTTGAGAGAGTAATTTTCACACTATTCAGTGGTAATAGTCAACCAGACTAGCCCCGTTATCTATTATCCATAGGCCGAGTCGCCTCATATAAGAAATACAGGAGAAACTGGAAAATTGACGGTGACCGTGTTCAAGACACATCACTGCTCAATGTGGGCAATTTTATTGAGGATGGACCTGGAGATTTTAAAAGGCGTGTTGTCTTTTATAAATGCAGCAGCATTAACTCCACAGATAAATAATGAATAGCCATAATAGTGATGATGATGATGATGATGATGATGATGATGATGCGAGACGACGCCTTTCATACGTAAAAGAATTTGCACACTTCTAGACTCCGTCCAATTAAAGTCGACTGTGGAGGGTATGTGGTTTCCACGACTTCTAACCTTCGATCTTCTTATCGCGAGTATGTGAAAGGCACTACCTTCTCACCTCGCGAGTCGGTTATTTCTACAAATTCTTGTCATTCGTGTCTCTTGTGTATGTATATACCAAGTTCAGATGGGTTGACTTCCCTTCTTTTATATTGGTTTCTGCCCTACCTGATCGAACCACTAAGGCACCTAATATATTGATATTCTGATATGACACCAAATATAAGTCTTACTTTTGTTATCTCTTAAGTTTAGCACAGTATATACTGGGATCACCACAGAGCAACTCTTCTTAGCTAAAATGTATCTAATTAACAGTAAAATCGATTAAAAATTCTGGTATTTCATAGCGTCAGTCAACGCTATAGTATTACAATAGGAATTCAGAAGCGTTTAAAAAACACGAAGAAAAAACGCATTGGAGAGGTATTGTCTTTGGAATTAAATCTCTGTGACGAGGCTATATTTGCATTTAGATTTCTCTAACCACTGTTTTTTTTTCAGGTAAATGTTCTGATGTTCTCTTGCTAGCTTTTCATTTTTTTTATTGTAATCTGTTGGAATTTTTGGGTAGCTTTGTACTAGTGAGCCAGCCAAAATGAGCTGACTCGTTTTATAGTCCACCAAGAGAAGGGTTAACCAATCAGAAAGCTCAAAATATTCAATGCGACGTGTATAAAGGCAGCCATATTGTTTTTTTTCTCCCAAAATATCTTCACTGCCAACCTCTGATATCGAAGACTTAAAGAATTAGTTTAACAGCTGCTACTTTCTGCGAATCTTCACTGCCAACCTCTGATATTGAACACATTACGTACTTCACTGGATTCTATATTCAAAGACTACGGCAAACATGGTTAACATAATCTTTCTCTTTCTCTCTCTCTCTCCCCCTCTCTCTTTCTCTGTATCGCTTTTGCATTTTTCCCCGTTTCTTTCATTTGGTTTTGATTTCATTAGATAACAAGCATAAACACACGCGTAACAGGATTTTATAAATAAAAAAATAGATCGCTGATATGAAATAGCGTCATTTTTCAGGACCAACATATTTATGACATCGACTGGGACCCTTTTTTGTTTTGTTTTTCTTTTTACCCCTTACTCAGTCATTATCGATACAAACCCTTGTCAATCGAAATTTGTATTTGACTCGATATATGGCACAGCTTCTGATTCAAATACATGTATGTATTCAGTATATGTACAAAAGAATTTGGATGCGCTAATAGTGATCGGAAATTATGATGCGTTTTATACATATTAAAAAATTCCTTTTGAGTTCATATGAAGTGGGATGAAATGAAAATAGGAATATTTTACTGAACCCCGCAATAATACATTTCCAATACACTTGCTTTTCTCCTCTTCCTCCTCCCCACTTTCTACCACACCATACATCGTGCGCTTATTCTTTTATTTATCTATTTTAAAAATATAACGTTCATAAAGTTTTTATTAAAAAAAATAAATAAAGCGTTTGTAAATCAATTGAACGAAATCGCCTGAAGTTACCGAAATATTGAAACCAAGGTAGCGGAATCGGCTGATTTCCTAATTTCTTATACTTAAAAGATCTACACGTTAATTTTTTTAATCTTTTTATGTGTATTGAGCAATTTTTAATACTACTGTTTCCTTTTTAATACTTTAATACTACTATTTCAGCAGGTAAGATTTTTTTTTAATACCTGCCTCATCGGACCGAAATTGCAAAATGGTTTAAATTTATCTAGACAATATGTTAAAAATTATTTTATCAGGACATCCCATAAGTTCTGTCCGAATTTTGAATAAAGAAAACAAGTGACCAAATGTTACATTTAATTACAGATTCAATCAACAATGTATTTTCCCTGATTATCTATGACTTCCTTCCATCTATTAACAAGCTTACTAATTCCATTACTGTAAAATTCTTTTGGCTTTGATTCGAAGAACTCACAAATGTCAGCAGTTTTAACCTCTTCCTGTGTTACAAAAGCTGTTTCTTCCAAATGAATATGTAAGCTACGAAACAAATGGTAGTCTGAAGGAGCAAGATCGGGAGAATAAGGTGGATGAGGAATTTTCTTTTGTGACGTGATTCTTGCTGTGTGGGGTCGCGCATTGTCCTGATGAAACATCACCCCTTTTCGATTCACTAGATCAGGTCTTTTTTCCTCAAATCTTGGTTCAAACGCTCTAATTGCTGACAGTAGATTTGAACATTAATTGTTGCATTAGGTGGTAAGAATTCAAAGTGGATTATTCCTTGGCGATCCCACCAGATTGAAAGAAGAACATTTTGCCCATAAAGTTCCCTTCTCGGCTGCGGCTGGGGTCCTTGCCCTTTACCAAGGCACTGTCTACGACGCTTAACATTTCGATAAAAGATCCATTTTTCGTCGCCAGTCACAAGTCTATCCAAAAAAAAGGTGAAACAATTTGGCGAGAATGACGAGAAGAACAGATGTCAACTCGGGATTTGAGGTTGTTTTCAGACAATTCATGAGGCACCCATTTTCCAAGTTTAGGAACTTTTCCAAGTTGTTGAAGATGACGATGAACAGTTGTATGGTTTGAACTGAGAACCACTGCCAATTCCTCAACTGATAAAGCAAGATTTTCTTCAAGGGCTGCTTCAAGAAGCTTTTCATCAAACTCAACTGGACGTCCGGTTCGATCTTCATCTTCAAGGGTGAAATCTCCACTGAATTTTGCAAACCATCTTCTGCAAGTTCTTTCATTCACACATTCCTCTCCATAAACTGAGTGAATGTTTCTAGTCGCTTCGGCTGCTGAGTTTCCTTTCTTGAACTCATAAAGCATTACTCAAATGATTCTTGGGTACTTCCATGTTAGCAGGGTTTTAATCAAACAAAATTTAATTTTATTGTTATCTGAAATAAGATTTGATCTGTTTAAATGCATCTAAACATAAAAAAATAATGTTCAGCTCCATTAGACATTATAAAATACTCTTAAAATTTCGTTCATTTTAACAAAAAGTTAAAATTCGGACAGAACTTATGGGATGACCTGATAAAAATAAATCAGAAGAGAACAGGAAGCAAAGTCTAAAATACTCGACCTTTACATTATTGAAGAGAGAAGTGGGGGGGAGAGAAAAAGGAAAAGCAACGTGTCAACACAACGAACAGGAGTGAGAAGGGGAAGTACAAATGACATCTAATGAAATACATTAGAATTAAAACAAAATTTATACCATCATCTAATTTACGTCTATATAATAACAATCATCATATATATATATATATATATATATATATATATATATATATATATATATAAAAGGATTGAAAAAATTGATAATATGATATATATATGTAACAAAAAAAATTAAATTAAATATATCTAATTCATCATAATTATAAAAATACATCATATATGTGTGCGTGTGTGTGTGAATATGTGGCATATACACATAAAAAAAATATGCAAATAGACACATCCATACAAATGCAAGTATACGCATATATACAATAGAAGCACATATATTATCTATTATATATATATATATATATATATATATATATATATATGTGTGTGTGTGTGTGTGTGTGTGCGTGCGTGTGTGTGTGTGGAGAGAGAGACAGACAAACAGACAGACAAACAGACAGACAGGCACAGATACACTCAGAGAACGATCGTATATATGTTTGAAACTATGCATCCGCACATATGCGTGCACAAACACATACACACACTCTCTCTCTCTGTCTTTCTATTGATTTGTGTCAGTGTATGTATGTCTGTGTATATATATTCAAAAATCAGAAAAAAATAGTTGGTTCTTTACACCGCTCTACTATCTGACCCCTTATTCTAGGTTTTACCTTTACAA